ACACACACACACACACACTCACACAGGCCTTTACATTTTAATTTTATTCAGCTCTAATGGAGGACTTGGGGGCGGGTGGGGGTTGGTAGCCGGAGGTGAAGGAGACTATTCGACTCGACACTCACACAAAGAAATGATTCATTAACACACCGACAATATCAGAAATATTAAACCGGGATTTAACGACCGAGGCTCCGGTAACGAAGGAGGCGACAGCTCGGTGTCACCGCCGACTGGTCCCCCCTCCTCCTCCTCCGCTCCCGCAGAACCCGCCTCACGGCTGCGGGGCCGGTTCCTCCGCAGAGCCGCGGAGGGGAAAGTTGAATAAAGTTGTAATTGCGGTCAGAGTCAAACTCTCCGGTGGAAAACAATCAATGCGGCGCGTTAATGAAAGAACCGGAGGAGCTCGGCCCCGGTTCACGGCGACACACGGTGGAGGTGTTCCCCGCGGCCACAGCTCACCGAACCGGGCGGGAGAGGCGACACAAAGCGGCGTGGATGTAGAAAGGAACCGGACTTTACCTGGATTACATTGTGCTCCATTGCCGTCCTGCATTCCCTCCGTCAGGCCCCTCTCCGGTTACACCGCCGGGACTCGCCGACACACAAACAAACGCACCACAGAGGCAGAGGGGGGCGGTGTTTAAAAAATAAAAAAATAAAACCCGGTCCTCCTCCTGCGGGGTTTTCTTCTTTCCTCCTCTTCCTCCTCTTCCTCCTCTCCTTCCTCTTCCTCCTCCTCCTCTTCCTCGGTGAATTTAACTGAGGACGAAGTTTGAAACTTATCGTTAAACTCTGAGAATCAGCGCGAGCATCTGTAGCTACTGTGACGTACTTCCGCCTGAGGGCGGGGCTTAGCTGCCAGCGGTAGAAGAAGAAGAAGTTTTTATTGTAGTAGATTATACTAATATTCAGTCATACACAGTACATGTACAAGTACAACGCTGATATAGGTCAAATGAAGAAATAAGTACTCTGATACAGGTTCGGGTACTAATGTCCTCTGTTATAGGTCAAAAGTACTAAATTTCTTTGATACAAGTAAGAAGTACTACTGTAATCTGATACTGACCAAAAAGTACTATACCACAGTGAGTACTAAGTACTTTGATACAGGTTAAGGTCCTCAAGTACTCTGAAACAGCTCAAAAGTACTTTAGTACTTTGATACAAGTAAAAAGTACTTATGTAATCTGATACTGACCAAAAACTGCTCATACCACAATGAGTAATAAGTACTCTGACGCATGTTAATATGTACAAATGTAATCTGAAACAGGTCAAAATGTATTCAAGTAAAAGAAAGCACTAAAGTACTTTGATACAGGTCAAAAAGTACTAATGTAATCTGATACAGGTCAGAAGTACTTCAGTGATACACTTAGTAGTTATTCAAGTAAAAGTAGCAGCATTGCAGTTTATAAGCCTGTTTAAACTGAGGTAATTACTGCGGAGACAAAATGTCGGGTCTTGAATGTGAGGGTGGATTTGATAATAATATCAATATGTTTCCTACAAAAGCAGAAGAAGCTGCTGATCCTCGACGACACACAAACTGATCTCTTCGTCCACAGTCACGTTTTATATTATATATTTTTTTATTCTCAGTCTCAAATCAAACACGACGAATCTGTCGATGCGACATTTTTTTTTNTTTTTAAGTTAGACCATTTATGCATTTGTACTATTTAAACATCAGGATACTTACACATAAAGGCTCTATTCTTCTCAATGAGTGCGTTTGAGTTTATTTTACTGTCATCAGGCCTCGTCCCTGCGTTTATACATTTATACAAGAGAAAAAGTTCAACAAGAAACCTGCGAGTTAAATGATTTGATCACAGTCAGTGAACTGAAACTCTTCAATAACTTCTTTTCCTCGTTAGATTGTTGAATGTGGTTTGAGTCACTTCCTGTAAAATGATCTTCTCACAATGTCTGCTGATTCAAAAAGTTTTATTTAAAATCATTGTTCAAACAAAACTGCACACACTGAATTTATCACAAACTCATTTTCACACAGAATAAATGAGATGAAGGGAATCCAAATAAACAAGTGGAAGTGTGAGAAATAACATGCGTCAAACAAAAATGAACAAAAACCAGATGTGATCAGGTGGAAACAACGACGTGGAACCAGTTTATTATTGATAAGCTGATTAAAAACAGATAAATCAACCTTTTAGAATTATTATAAAAACAGCATTAGTAGGAGGGATTACTCTGTAAAAACCTGTTGTTACCAGGTGTGTCCACCAGGGGGAGGATGCACGTGCTGCATTTAAACCCCCCCCCATGAGGCCCTGCATGCTGGTTCAGAGTTTAAAGCCTCAGATCAGAATCACACTCGTGTTCTTTCTGCTTCACTTTGTCTCACATGTTCTGATGTTTGATCAAATACTGTGAGTAAAAGTACTTCTATATTGATTAGTATTACATTAAGTTGGTTTATCTTATGAACTGTTATTTGTTTTTCTTCTCTCAGCTCATTAATCTGCTCTGGACTCAGACTCTTGTTCATTTGTCTCATTAAATCACTTTTTTCTCCTGAAAACATCTGAAGGATCCCAAGCAGCTGATTCAGGATTTTCTCCTTTTAATCGTGTTTGTGCCGAGAACAACGAGGAATCAGTTCATGTTGTGTTGCCGGCAGAGCCTCCGCACCTTTATCCCCAAACGACCTCCAGTCGAGGAGCAGGAGAAGGAAGAGGAGGAGGAGGAGGCTACAGCAGGAGGAGGAAGAAGAGGCTGCAAGAGGAAGAGGAGGAAGAAGAGGTGGAGGCAACAGCAGGAGGAGGAAGAAGAGGCTGCAGCAGGAGGAAGAGGAGGAGGAGGGAGAGGAGGCTGCAGCAAAAACGAAGGTGAGGATGAAAAATAAACATGAGGCTGCAGCTCCTGTTTGTCCTCTGAGCTTCAGCCTCATTAAACAACACGACACTGCAGCTGCTTCATTCACATTCTGTCTCGACTCATTATTTATACTGGAGACATTTCTTGTTTTATTCATGAGCACAAAAACAGCTTCAACAAACAAGTTCATCTACCTCATTCACAGTTATTAGTTATTTATCATTTGATCTGGTCTCTGACCTACACTGGACACATGTTCCTGACGTGTGCCTGACGTGTTCTGCAGGTTGTGCATGTGAGAACAAATGTCTGAGTCAGCGTCTCTGGACATTTTCTGGATCTTCTCCTGCAGCCTCCTGGTAAAACATCTGGAAACTTCCCAGTGAGTGAGTGGATGTGTTGATGAGGTTTCTAACACGTAACGGACATGAAACTGGAAGAAAACAAAAGTCTCAGGATGAAGAAGAGGAGCCGCTAACATGGAGGAGGCTGGTTTATGACCTATATGCAGGATTTGTGTTCACAGGCAGGAAGTCAAACATTTCAGAAACGTTCTGATTGGACGCAGAATGAGGAAACGTCCCTGAGTGAAGGATGAGTCATCAGTGTGTTTAACAGGAAGACACAAAAAAGAGAGAGATCTAGATAAAAACCCCAGGATGTTGGTTTTATACCGAGAGAGAGAAGTAAAGAGTTGACATTTTTTGAGAATTTACAAACTTTACAACATCAGTGACTTTTTCTGAGGAGAGATTTTCTCAGTATTTTTTTGTATTTGCTGTTTTTTTTCTCACAATATATTAAATTATTGATGTTTTATCTAAAGTAAACAAAAGTAGATCTCAGATAAAATATAATATTAAATTATAAACTTGTCATGTTTCCATCACACTAACAGCTGCATCTGTTCCACATCTGCTCTTACTCATCCTCTTCATCATCCTCTTCCTCGTCGACCTCCCCGTCGCTGTCCTCTAACAGACGGGACTGGAGAGCGAGCCGCTGAGCCACAGCTGTTACCATGGCAGCACCCTTCCCACTGCCGTCCTCTGAGACCAGGAAGGTGATGCTGCACTCGGGGGCGAGGAGGCGAACAGTCGCCTGGAGCTCATCACTGAAGCTGCAGAGGGAAGAAGACGATAAATACAAATATAAACATAAAATACATAAATATTTAGGAGGAGAATAAGGTGAACACAGAATCTCTTCTGTTATTATCATGAGGAAATCACAAACTGAAATCACACCGACTGATCTAGAAAAACGTTATTAAAGGTTTATTATTTAAAGCCCTGAGCCGTGGCATCGAAGTCCCACCCACACCATGCTCTCGACCAATCCTGAGTCAGTCTCAGCTGTCAATCATCACGTCTCAGCTTGTTTTTATATCGTTAAATAACTGATGAAAACCAAAAGGATCAGAAACATCTTGACAAACATTAATTGAACGTCTACTTTGATTTGAAGCCACCAGGGGGCGATCCAGGTGATTTGGTTTAAAGCGCCTCTCCCTCATATTTTCTCTTACTTCGGGTGTTTCTTGTACACCGTCCCGTCCACCCCCACGGTCGTCTTCAGATGGTCCAGCCCACGGTTGACCCGGATATGGTTGGCAATGGTGGCCAGGGCGGCGCTGCAGAGACGAGCCGAGCGTGATGAGATGGCGTCGCAGGCCAGACGCACCACGCGGACGTCGACCGGGTCCCACTTCAGGCCGAGCTCAGTCAGGATTTTCTTAGCGTTTTCCAGGCCGGTGTCCTCCCTGCAGCAGAGACGCAGACAGGATGTGAAGACGGACAACATGGAGGACGGTAGAGAAAGTTTACCTGGAGGAGGATTTAAAAACTCACTCTTCAATCTCAGAAATGAACTTCGTCTGGAATTTTCCCGGAGTCCGCAGCGCCTCCGACGTCTGTCCTTTAAACAGCAGCTTGTCCTCCGTCATCTTCACCAGCAGGAGACGCACGATCTCCCCCAAGTACATCCCACTGATCATCTTCTCGAAGCTGCGCAAGGAAACGAGAAGAGACGGCAGAACAGATGAAGACATCTGTCGTCATTTCCCCTGCAGGTTATTTAGTGTTGGTGGCTGCAGGGGGCGCTGTTGCTCAGTAACAGTTACATAGTGTAGCTTTAAAGTTGCGGTCGCCAGCTGATCGTCGTACGTACGTGTGAACTCCCGGGTTGATGGACTTCTTGTCCACCTCCACGTCGAACTCTGTCAGGATGTCTTTGAGCGAGCCGCCGTCTCCGAAGCCCCCCCACTCCGTGTTGATGCACATGCGCCCGTCCTCGCCCTCCACACGCTTCACGTTCTTCATCTCCTCCATGTAGCAGGCGTTAGTTCCCGTTCCTGGAGCCACAGAGGAAACATGGTTAAACAGCAGGTTCGTGATGAGGGAAACAAAGAGTTCGGATCATTGAGACGTCGTCAAACAACCAGAGCGTGAAAACAGATGAAGTCATGAGAAGTGAACGAGTCACAGATTGTGTTGCTCGCTGGTTCATTGTTTTTGTCTCTTCGTATTTTGGTCCTGAGCCTGTGCTGTGATACTGATGAAGGGCGGGGCCTGTACCGGTGGCGCCCCCCCTCTGTGTGCAGTGTGTATTACATGGCGGATGTGTGAGAGGACGTCCTGTTACCGATGATCATGCCGATCTCACAGCTCTGGTCCTTGTAGCCGCAGCTCATCATTGTACCCACAGTGTCATTCACCATGGCAACAGAGCCGATCTCGTAGTCCTGCAGAGAGAGAGAGAGAGAGACAGACAGAGAGACAGAGAGAGAGAGAGACAGACAGAGAGACAGGTGTATTAATGTGTCTCCTATTTATAATCTGAATAACCTGCCCACACACACATTTCGTCCGTCCCAAGAAAAATAGTTTCACAACGTTTTGACTCTGAATCAGAAACATCAAGAATCTTTGACCTAATTTAATTTAATAATTTGATGTGAAAAGTGAATTTATCACAGAGTCGATGTCTGAGGTTCATGAGACAGAGAGAGACAGAGACAGAGACAGAGAGAGACAGAGACAGAGAGAGAGAGAGAGAGAGAGAGAGAGACAGACAGACAGACAGAGAGAGACAGAGACAGAGAGAGAGAGAGAGAGAGAGAGAGAGACAGACAGACAGACAGAGAGAGACAGAGACAGAGAGAGACAGAGAGAGACAGAGAGAGACAGATCCTCCAGAGATAATTTAAAGCAAAGTGAAGGAGTTACAGTGTGATTCATTCACTGACCCCCCTCTTGTGGATGGCGTCTTTCAGCAGCTTCACTACGTCTTTTCCCTCCACGCCGGAGCAGTTGAAGCCTTTGGTCCAGCGGATCAAGATGCTCTGTGAAGACAGGGGTTCAAACATTCAACACGGGAGACGGAAACGTTTCAAACTGTTTGTTTCATGAAGAAGAAAAGTGACGACACTGAACCTCACAAAGGAATATTCTCCTGTTGTCATTTTGAATTTCTGTTTGTGTGTGTGTGTGTGTGTCACCTTGTCGATTCCTTTCTGCTCACAGGGGAAGGAGAAGGTGAATCCCAGAGGAAGAGTTTGTCCCTTCAGCTTCTGAGAGAGGAGGAAGTCTCCGAGGCAGGCGGCGATGTGGTCGAACAGCTGGACGGAGACAGATGTTTCTGAACTTTTGTTTACACATGACAACAGGTTTTCTGCGCATTAAGTTATTAATTCAAACACTGAAGTTTGCGTCTCTTTGTTTATAAAAGCGGTTCCCACCTGTTCTCCGGTTCCCAGCATCATCTCCTGAGGGATGGTACAGATCTGACTGTCCATCTTCATCACGCTCTGCTTCTCCTCCACCACTCGCACGTGAAGCACCCGGAAGTTTGTTCCACCGAGATCCAACGCCAGGAAGTCGCCTCGCTCTGTTGGGAGGAACAACAATGATGAAGTTTAGAAATCAAGCAACTCCATATTCACGTGGATTAGAAACAATATTTAACATCTGAATCATTTCATTTCTATCAAGTCGCTTCAAGTTGTTTTATTTATTACGTTTAAAACATTGAAAATTAAAACTGGACCATTTAAGTTGCATTAACTCAAACTGAATGAACTCCCAGTGTTTATTTCTACTTGAACTTAATAACAAAACAGGGGTTGACTCCACTCATTTCCTGTCTGGTGCGTGTGCACGTGTTTACCCGTCCCGTCCGGCGTGGCCCTGACGAACGTGGGCAGCATCTTCACAGACGCCTTGTGATGCGTGTGTTTCCCTAAACCTCGGAGCATAGCCTTCTTCAGCCGAGAGGAAACTTCCTGCAGCTTCTCCAGAGACAAGTGGAAAGACTCCAGGTACTTCTGCACCTGCACACACACACACACACACACACACACATTTGTATTATTTTAATTCATAATAAAATATTGCTTAATCATTTCTCGATTTATTTATATACAACAAACTGTGCATTCACAATCATTTGTCATATAAATATTATTTATTTCTGTTGTGGAATAAGAAGCAGTGAAAATAGACAGAAGAGATTTTACACATCTTTCTCCGCCAGGGGGCGGTGTTTCCTCTGAAGAAAGTTTTACATACAAATCAAAGGAGAAATGGACTTCACAATAAAAGCGGTGATCGAATTACTCAGGTTTGGAAATAAAAACAAATGAAATGAATCCAGAGTTTTTATCTGCTGGTGTGAAACAATACGATGATTCATTCAGTCAAACAAGTTTATTCAATATATTCATATCAACCTCGTCAGCGGAACATCATTTATTTATTTCTTAGTGTTTGTATTTTATATCTTTGTCAGTTTTGTGTCTCTGTGTTCTATGGTCGACTTTAGACAATAACAATCCACAAATGTTACTATGAGTTAAAGTTATTTTCTTCACTGACTATTTTCACGTGAATAAAAACTCAGGAAAACATGTTGGACCAGGCGGGTCACAGGAAGTGACCCGCCTGGTCCAACAGGTTGTGACTCTCTGGAGATGCAGCAACAATTCACTTTTCTCTTCCTGTTTTTTCCGTTTCCTTCGACGCTGGAAACACAGTTTTTTAAAATCCGCTGCTGTGGAAAAGTTTCCTTTAGACCTTTTATTCAGGTTACAGGACGAGGACGAGTATTGTATTCAGTTTTATTTGTATAGCGTCAGATCGAGAGAGACCTGGAACACTTGAGCACCATCAGGTATCAGAGCCGACTCGTTCAAATGAAAACAATAACAGTGTAAAGAAGTTATTGATTATTAACGATAACAGTCACAATAATTAATTACTGAAGTGTTGTTAATAGTAATAATAGTTGTTGTCCTGCAGTTCTGGAGTCCGAGATATCTGCTTTGTACACATCTGAAGTACTAATACTAACATACAATTCATGCTACAACTCCACAGACTAAGATTTAACTTAAAAAACGAGGGCTCGGGGCTCCTCCCCTCTTAATACTCTGCTGATGTTTGTGTAAAACCTTCTGGATCAGGAATAATCCACACACACACGATGCAAACACACACACGCTGCAAACACACGATGCAAACAGACACACGATGCAAACACACACACGATGCAAACACACACAAGATGCAAACACACACGATGCAAACACACACACGATGCAAACAGACACACAATGCAAACAGACACACGATGCAAACACACACCCAGATCACCGTTTGTTTGTGAAATATGTCTGGGAGTGTGTGTGTGTGTGTGTGTGTGTGTGTAAAGTCAAGTTTCAACACAAGATCAGATCGAATCTTCATGTTGAAACACTCAGGACCAGTGACATCAGGCCCCTCCTGGACTCTGATTGGCTGCTGTGGGTCGTTCTTATTTCACGCTGCAGGTTGAACCATCGAGGTTCAAACCCGACTTCTATTAGATCAGAGTCATGATGCAGGAATGAAGTCGGCCACGCCCTCAGTGACGACAAGCGTGTTGTGACACGACGGCGTGAAAAGAGGGCGAGGCAGAAATATAATGTTTCACATCAAGGAGAGAAACATCGAGACCTGAACCAACACGTCTGTGGAAAAATACAGAGAAGAAGAAGAAGATGGAGGAGACAATGAAGAAGAAGAGGAGATAAAGAAGAAGAAGATGAAGAAAAAGAAGTTTGAGGAGGATATAATGAAGAAGAAGATGAAGAACAAGAAGAAGAAAAAGGAGGAGACAATGAAGAACAAGATTAAATAGAAGAACGAGAAAAAAAAGAAACAGGAAGAGATAATGAAGAAGAAGAAAGAGGAGGAGATGCTAAAGGAGAAGAAATGAGGTTTATGTTTGACTGTTTGAGTTTGTTTACATGAAATATAATAAGAATAATAAGAATAAAACAATTGACTTCCCACTTCATGAAAGATGAGAGTGAACGTGCCGATGAGATTTAAAAAAATGAATTTAAGCAAAAAACAATTACATTTTTAAACACCTGACCATTAAATATGAAAAATGCAGAAGGTTGGTGTGAATCCAGTCTCTGTAAATACAGATGATGTCATGTTTGTACCTCACGGAGCGTGTCCGCAGGGATCCCGTCCACGTGAAGCTTCGCAGTTTCTCCGCTCATCTTTGATTTTTTAGAAACCTGAGAGACGTTTGATGCTGAGTCACTCATCTGGAGAAAAAGATGAAAAGAGCCAGATCACAAAAATGACAAAACCTGTTCAGTCTATA